TTCATGCAGTTAATGACCTGAGTACTTCAAGTCCAGTGCAAAAAAGCATGATCGCACGGGCCTGCCCGGTGCGTTCCAGCCTGGGTTTCACAAAACGAGCATTTACCGAAAAAACAACCGGACTTTATGCAAAAAATCGGTAATCATGCACCTGAATGTCCGTGTAGCTTTATAATGCACCACCTTTATCCCAACTGACTCCATTCCTCCTGCATGCAGAAAAGGATCAAAACACGGCCAATATGAGCCCAAGTGTTAGGTTACAGCGTAGGGATTCCTGCTAATAGCGATCTGCGAGTTTAGTGCAAAAGCGCATCGCACCGGAAAGCCTGATGCGTTCCAGCCTGGATTGCTAATAATATCATGAGCTTTAGGCAAATAGTTATTCACTTCAGAATGTAACACAACTCATTTTTCAACATAGTTTCAAGAAAGCTGTATTTGGACACATAAGCCAAATATCATGAAAATCGTATCTTGAGAACTGCCCGCTTACACTGTTGCAGATATGGTGTATCAAATCGAGTCTATACTGGTGATGACGTATGAGTGGCATCCGAATGCTGCTGCTACAGCAATAGTGCAGACGAATGTAATTTACCGCACTGTTCGAGAATTCACGAAAAAAAAAAGACGCTTAGATTGCGTCGGAGAGCCGCACAAGAAGCGAAATAATTTCTGTAGCAGTCAGCCGATCCCGGCAATTGAACGTCGTGGATCCGAGACAAGCTTCCGGCCTAGTACCACAAAAACCCCCTTCAAAATGTGATTTCATTCTTTACTTGTTAAGTATTATTGTAAGACATATGTGCGTATGGTCATCATCCCACATGGTGATTTTAGAGGTTTCCGGAACCTCACCGTGTTAGGATCAAAAATATCAAGGGTAAATGAACCTAGATTATTATCTCTTCGAACTCTGACTGTGACCTAATTAGGGCTTAAATTAGCCCCTAGTTAGAATAATAATTATCACCTACTGCACCAAAAGTATCACGAAATTGTGAAACAGGTTATCATCTGTTTGGGATCTGTCTGCCACCCACTGAACCGAGATCACCATCCAGTTAGGAGGAGGCGGAGAAGTATCATTTAGCTGGAACCTAACTCAGTTGTAGTCTGAGTCTAAGTAGGCTCGGATTATAACTCAGTTAGGTCCCAGGTTATCGCCCATTTACAATTCATCTAGTGGGGACTCTGATTATCATTTAGTTTTACTCAGACTATCACGTAGTTAATATTTTTTGATTTTGCTAAATTTGGCAACAAATTCTCAACTAAACCAATCCTTATTTTGCTCAAAATCTCATCCTCTTACGCCATTGAAATTGATATGTCTTGATCCTGACATGCACATAAGTTATTTTATGCGGTAATGGATCACTAGTACATCCACAGTCTTCAAGCAAGATCTATGCAAACCCAGATATTTTTATCCTTGTTTGTTATACGTCAAGTAGGGGCTTCGATGATTGTTAACTTCGCATAATTTAATGGATGTCAAGTAAAAGTTTTTTTAAAATACGAAGAAAAAGTGGCGCATGTACAGCTGTGGATGCTATCTGGAGGTGTGCGGCTCGGAATCAAAGGGCTGGCAAAGTTGAATCCACTGTGTGACAACATCCCAACAACATCACTAGCACGAAACATCCAAAATGACTGCTTCAGCTGTTTTGCTATTCTTGGTATAAACAGCACATGGTTTTATGGAGGCGTGTCACACTCAAAACCCAGGCTGGAACGCACCTGGCAAGCTGGTGCGATCATGCGTTTTTGCACTAAAGTAATTAGGTTAACTGCATGAACGTTTGTTCCTTCACACTTACCTTGTACACTCGATAGTGTAAATTATCGTAAATTTTGCATAAACGGAAATAAACAATTTCCATTTAGTGGCCGTTTCTGAAAATGACGCAGATGTCCAGTGAGTAATTTTCCTGCAATAAATTTAAGTGCCCGCAGCGAGAACCATGCGTATATGAAGGCTGAATTTGAAACCTTTAAGTTGTATTTGGACGGGAGTTTTGAAACCTTTAAGTTGTATTTTTGTAGTTCGCATTTAGGCAAAACGCATAAAAAACCCGGGCTGGAGTACACCAAGTGGTCAGTGCGATCATGCGTTTTTGCACTATTTCGTGCTGTAGCAGGATCAGCAAGAATTTGTGACATACTGGTCCTCGAAATTCAGGAAGATAACTGTACAGTTATGTGGTACGTCAGGAGCGGATATCGGCTTCAACAACCTTACAAATGAGAGCTTGCTGGTGCGCGAGAAAGACTCCGCTAGAAGAGTTGAATTTGAAATCTTTTAGTGACACGTGGGTAGGGAATATTTCTTTAAAATTCCAGCCCCACAGTTTATCTCATTCTCGGGCTAGCAGTTTTCCCGCCAAAGTCTTCACTTGTCCATGCATGTGACAATGGCGGTTCTTAGAAGCTGAATTTGAAGTCCCTTGGTCGTACATGAGTAATGAAAATTTCCCTAAAATTTCAACTTGCTAGCCTTTCTCGCCCTTAAGTTGGCAATTTCTCCGCCAAAATTTTCACGTGCGAGTACGCTACTCCCGGGCGGCTCTGAGGAGGTGAGTTTGATCATGCATGAGTGTTGAATACTGCCCTAAATTTTTAGCTTTCTAGCTTCACTCGTTCCCGAGTTAGCAATTTTCCCGCCAAAGCTTTCACGTGTCCATGCGTGAGACTTAGGTGTGCATGACAGTTGTTATCACGTTCTTGGGATCGAACTGGCAAAATTTCACTGGCAAAATTTCAGCGTCAATGCGCGACTGGCGAGTAGAAATACCTAGACGGACGAACATACACATACATACACACACGCACACACACATACACATACACACACTGAGCGTCGTCACAATATGCTTTTTTGCTGCCTACTGTACCGCTCTAGCGCTGCACGGCAAAACCGCTAAAAAATTCAGCATGATTTCAATCCTCCGTCATCATTGAACAGCTGTTTGTAATGGGAAAAGTTAGCCATACAGGGCACTAAAATATGGTCAGTAATGCTGTAATTTGAAATCAAGTTTAGTCCCTTAACTGCTGTTCATAGACGAGTCTTGTTAATTGGTTAATGACGGTCTTGTAAATAACTTATGAGAGAGTAAGCAGATCTGGCGGTAGTTCACGTCTTCTTTATTGCTCTTTGTGCTCATCAAAACAACTCGATTTCCGGCTGCTGGTTATATTTCTCTGACAAAGTATCGAATGGACCTAGCAGTGAGTAATTTCCGAATTTTGTACTCACCTGTTCTTATTAGTTCAATGGAAGGCTGCTTCCTCTGCATTGCTAATAATTCCAGGAGTGTGCGATCTTTCTGGAAATATTTTTGTGTTTGCGGATATCCTCGAACTGAAATGTCGGCCTTGACTCATTCAGTGCACTCCGAAAGCTTACCAACGAGGTAACTGCAGTCCTAATCACTGAAAAAATCCAGTTGTTACTCCATTTGTCTATTCATCTTCTTTACATCAATCCTTGGGCATTTATTAGGCTAACTTGCTACATACAGTACTTTTATTTCGACACTCTGCATCAGTGTTATGTCGATGAAAGAGGGGACTATGGTGGTGGCTTTCAGAATGCGCTAAGCATCAGCCAAGTTGTAGTCGATTTCGCTTTGGTTCTTGTTCAACGCAGGTCATCAGCTTCGTCGTGCATCTTACCTGAACCAAGAGTTTGTTCGTCAATGGCCAAAATACTTCAACGTATGCAACAGTGGGCTAGAGTAGCGATAGTGCCAAAGACATGCATTTCCACAACATAGTTTCCTTTTGCAAATTTGCGTAAATGTGCTAATACTTATATTTAGAATGCTAATTTTGTGAAGTGTGTTGAATGAGCCGAAATGGAAGTGTTTAATAAATTAGCATACACGAGGCAGTATAAAAGTCCAGAGCGGCGGCAGTTGCGCCAGTTTCCCGTCAGCAGCTTTCCAGAGTGGTTTGTTTCATCCTCGAGGCAGCACAGTTCCAACGTGGTCTCATAAGTATCGTCTTCACTAAATGGTGCTGCCAGGCAAAAAGTGTCCAGGAATTGGTCGCACTGTATATGTGCAGCGGAAGGTTTTTGATTGTGCACGAAAAATGAGGTAAGATTTCAACAAAGGGTTTTAATGAAAGAGAATATTTTCCCCTGGTCCTTATGGAATTTCCAGGAAAGCCTTTACCGACTCGGCAGCTCTGACTACTAAGCATAACTGTAGTACTATCATTGACATGAACAGGTAGTAGGCCGGGGTCAGGTAGGGTTATCCACAAATTGCGAAGGTAAGGTGGAAGATCGGAAGTCAAAAAAAACACGGTTTTTTGCAATCGGAGTCTGGATAATCTTGCATCCAGTGTGACTCCTATACTTACTTTATACTTCAAACGACAAATTTTTCACCGCTGATTTTTCTCCTAAATGCGTGTTTCTAGGAGGAGCCGAAGTGTAAAACGAAGTGGCAAGCAAAAATGATAGGAAGAAATATAGCAAAGACCACTTGTGCAGGCAAAAATCAATAACCACTGGTGTAAGCAAAAATTCGCTCAGAGTGTGCCCCATTCAATCCACTTCATAGAAATTCATCGCTAAACTTGAAATTGAAGTGAAAATGAAAACATCAAAATGAAATGGCGATTTTTAATGAAAGTTGCACTATGCTGGACATTCGGTTGTGTTGACGCGCACGCCTGACTTCACGTTTTCACGATTTTATGTGAATTCATCCATATTGTTGGTCATCGTTGCTTTTTTGTCTTTTATGGTATCGAAGGTGTTCTGACGTTCTTATTCAACCATACTTTTTCACATTTTTACGTGTGCTGATTCAAAAATTATGGATTGCTTCCAATTTTTTACCGCT